TGTCTCCGGAGGACGTTACCCTAAATGCTCATTCTGAGTATTTAGAACGTCTTGAGGTCCAATGCTACTGACCCGCATTTCTCCTGCCGATGCCAGGCGACCTGAATTGCTGTCCTCATGGGTGTCCTCCACTTGCTTGCTTTTACACTTGTAGCACAGACACATATGAGACCATCTACACAAGAGAGTCACCACCAACTATTTTTGTCAATTCAATGTCACTCTTAACTCATTAGAAGGAAGCATAATATTCATAAGGATCTCCCGCATCACATGGCATCGTGTTGATGTGTTCAGGAATTGTATTCTCGTGTACTCCTCCTACCTCGGGTATCAGACCTACGCTTGGAATCCGGTGGTCCGGATTCCTCCAGATCCGGATTTCTCCAGATCCGGATTTCTCCAGATCCGGATTTGTCCAAATCCGGATTTATCCAGATCCGGATTCCTTCAGATCTGGATGGCTCATCCACAACAGCATCGCACGTTGTATACAGCGGGTTGGTTCCTCTTGTTTGTCGTGGCCTCGGGAATCAACATAAATTTAGACCACTTGCGAATTCCAGAACGCAGCCGAGTATATTCTATTCGATGTGGCAGCCGCCACTGCCAGAACTAACTGCACTTGCGGTATATGACCTGTATCTTTGTCAGTTCGTCGCAAACTACCAACCTTGATTTTCAATTTTGTCTAAAACGAAAATCAATGTCTTACAGCCTATACGTTCAAGATAGGTGCGTGTGCGTGTGCGTGTGCGTGTGCGTGTGCGTGTGCGTGTCCGTGTGCGTGTTTGTTTGTGCCCATACTTTTTTGTAGTTGCATTGCTTTTCGATGCAGTATCACTCGTGCTGTCACTTGGTCCTATTTAAAATTCCTAAACAGTTTGGCTGCAATTAATTGAAATTAATAAAAACTTCTTAAAATCATTTATATCCCATACTACATTTTTCCTACATGTGTAAACGTTTATAATTTGTTTTGTTTTTAGAAAATGTTGTTTGTATGTGTGGCAAGATACCTGGAGCATAGTGGAAAATAAACCGAGCAACTCACATGCACGCAACAACATGAATGTTCCGTATAGTTTTGACGATTAGTTAGAACGCTTCTGCGTATTATCAACGTGCAACATCATCGCGCCATCTATCAGGAGAAATATTTAAGAACGCTCATTGTGGGTCACTGTGGGTGTTTACGTTCCAGCCATCTCGGCGGCAGATATCTTCTGGATAGGAAGGAGGGGGAGGGGAGGGAGAGGAGGAGGAGGAGGATTCTGTCTCGCTGCGCGCGCAATTCGCTCTCCTCTCTCTCCCTCTGTCCCGGCTCTCCTCTCTCTCTCTCTCACTTCTCGTTTCTCTCTCGCGCGCTACGACGATCTCTCTCTTCCTCTCTCTCTCTTTCTTCTCTCCCTCTCTCCCTCTCTCTCGCTCTCTCTCTCTTTCTCTTTTCTCTCTCGCGCGCGCTATCTCTCGATCTCTCTCTCTCGCTGTCTTTCTTTCGCTCTCTCTCTCTCGCTCTCTCTCTCTCTCTCTCGCTCTCTCTTCTCATCTCTCCGCACCTCCCTCGCCTCATGCTCTCTTCTCCTCGTCTTTTTCTCTCTCTCTTGTCTTTTTTCTCGTCTCTGCGCCGGCGCTATCTCCCAGCTCCTGCTCTCTCCACCTCTCACTCTTCTCGGCGTCGTCTTCTCTCTCTCTCTTCTCTCTCTCTCTCTCTCTCTCCCCCTTTCTCTCTCATCCGCAGCTCTTCTCTTGCTCTAATCACGCAATCAAATAAACCTTTTTAAAATCGATTTTCAATTGTAATAGATATTAACTTATATGTGTTTTTTGCTGCGCCCGTCCGTATTTCCAACTCCCCCGCTACGTTCTCGTACGCGTGCATGTTCTCCGTTACACTTCACGTTTGCTAATTCCAACAAGAAGCAGACGGGCGCGCTCGCCTTCTCCTCCTACCCTCCTGCCTCCTCCTCCTCCTCCTCTCCCTCTTCTCCCTCCCCTCCCCCTCCTTCCTATCCAGAAGATATCTGCC